CCCCTCCCCTCCCCTCCCCTCCCCAGGTGCACCCCATTGGGGCACAGGGAGTGTACACAAGCAGGGCTGTAGGAAGGAAAGTGCACAAGTCCATATTCATCCATATATTCATGATCTGTAGGCTCAAGTGCTGTGATGCTCATTATCCAAGCATGACCTTAAAAACTGGAGCTGATGGAGAACATGGCAGCCCATCTGCTCGGCAGCACAGGCTGCTGGGGACCTCACCCTGGCCTCTGTGCCTCTGTTCTTTGTCTGAATGCAAAAGCGAGGGCTTGGGCTTCACCTCCAAGTCCTTGGATGGCATGGTGGCAGCTCCTGCCCCATCTTGAGAATTGTGGTGGGGATGGCGTGCAGTGAGGACAGCGTGTGATGGGGACACTGTGTGACAGGGACAGTGTGCATTGGCATCAGTGTGCTGCGTCCCACACTGAAGGACGTGGGCACCCCCTCACCACTCTCCTCCTGTCCTGTTGGGGTGAGTAGGGCTGAGAAGGCACACAGGAGGGAACACAGGGTCTCTTCTACTACCTCTCCACCACCCTGCCCTGCTTCCCACTGACCAAAGAAATGAATGAGCAGTGCTCCTTGCCACTTAATCCTTCCCAACATGCAAGCACCAGTAAGGAGGCGCGATGTTAAATTTTCTATGTGAGCAATCCTTCTGCTCCATCCTGCAGGCACCCCCCAAGCCTGCGTTCCAGATCCCTTCTTCTTTAAAAGAAATCGTGTTTTTCTTCTGGGCAACTGAACTCCACAAAAAGGGACATTTTCTCCATCATACTTTCCCATCTCCCCTTTCCTGGATGGCGATCCCAGGCTCCAGCTCTCATGCTGTGCAGGATATTCTGCCACCAGTCCCATCTGGTTCCCTGATGAGATCCACAGGCGGTGTGGCTGGAGCACTCAGGGTCGCCGTGTCTGCTTGCAGGCCACTGCTTCATCTCCTCCACTGTATTTCTCTCTTTCTGCAGTGTTCTTATCAGTCTGAGTCCAAACTGTTGCACAAATGCTCATAAGATCCATCTGCAGACCTTAAATATGGTGAAAAAGAGGTGTTTCTCAGAGCAATCTGTTGGAGAGATTTCGTACTGACTTTTAGACGAGTTCCATGCTGGTATGCATTCCTTTAGCATTAATGCTTCCTCTGGGACTCGAACCTTACAGAAATCTGAGAACCGAGCGTGGGGCTGCAGACACAGCACGGAGACGGCGAGCACACAGCGTGCGCGGGGCAGCAAGGGGAGGGGAAGGGAGCTCATGGCCATCGCCTGTGGCTCTGCTGGAAAGTGGGACCTCAGAGAGCTCTGCACCTTTCAGTGCAGGAAGAAGGTTTTTTCTTCTGAAAATAACTTTTAGCAGTGGATGCTATTAGGAGATGAACCATAACTCAGTGTGCATATATTAAGTCAGTAAGGCCAGGAATTATCAATACAGGATGGGGGATGAAGGATATGGTGACAGTTGTGTTTAGAACTTGGTATAAAGTAAATCAATCACATCGACTCTGTGTTGATTTAAAATCCTCAAAGAGTTGGGTTGAGAATGTTGCAGTTTCCCAGAGATGGGGTCCTTGCTGGGAATCTCTTACCCACCAGGGTGAGGGCATTCCCCACTGGCTCTGCTCAGCCCCACAGTGCAGTGCCATGATAGCAGTGCCATGATTGCAGTGCCCAGCTATGCTGAGCGATGGGAGCAGAGCGGTTGGTGGGACAGCAGGGCTGCCCCATGAGCACCCAGAGCCACAGAGAGAAATGGGGCAGCCTGTATGAAGGAAAGCCCATTTCTGACAAGACGTAATTGAGGAAATTTAATTTTCTTTCTTAACTGAATCGCCACGGATAATCCAGATTCTGTCTTGTGTGTCTAATTTAGCAGTGAAAACCTGGATCTTGGAGCTGTGCATGAGAACGTGGCAGATTTTTAAAAACAGCTTTCCCGAATAGAAAGAGGAACTTGTGGCAGCCGAAGGAAGGATCCTTTCTTTGGGTTTTGTTTTGATATAAAACACGTAGGTTCTTGCACCTCCATCCACCGGCACTCTGTTTTTCAGAAAAAGAAATGCATTTTTGGAACAGAGCACCGACAGACCTTGGGAAAATCGAGTTGGAAGGAAAAAAATGGAATTCATGTTGTTTCTCTAAGCACATTCCCATGTTTCAGATTTCGCACCGATAGATTGATGGCACGATTTGCTTTAGAACCAGGTGGCCGCATGGCTTCCATCTGTTGTGTCTCCCGCTCCGTCTCCAGCGAGGAGCGCCGCGGAGCTGCGCGGCATCTGCCCGGCGGGCCCGAGCTGCGCGCCGCGCGGAGACGGGATGCGCTGCGGCGGCACCGCGCCGCCGGACGGAGCGGGAAGTCCCGCGCTGTGCGGTCCCGTGCGCGTTCGCCCTGAATTTGCGCTCGTTTGGCGCAGAGCTGCAGGAGGACAGGCGGCGGTGCGGCCGGTGGGGCTGCCGGCACCCATTGGGACGCGCTGCCCGCGAGGCCCGCAGGTGCTGCTGCCCGGATCTGGGACGGCGCTGCGGTGCCGCCCAGTCGGGCCAAGTAAACCAGACTTGCACTTTCGCTTTTATTGACTGCCGCGTTCGCTCTCGGCTTTTTCTCCACTCGTACAAAACCCGGCGGAGCGCTGCGTGGAGGCGCAGCCTGCGGCCCTTCCCCCGCCCTCCCTGCCCCGGTTGAGGGTCCGGCCCGATCCGATCCCGCCGCGCCCTCCCCGCCGCCTCCCGGCCGCGCTGGGTGCGGGAAGCCGGCCCTTTCCGGGGGAGGCCGGCCGCGGGAGGGCGGTGGGAGGGCTCCGCTCATGCTCCCTCGCTCCGGGGCAGCTCCGCGCGGTGACTCATCGCGGGACGTGGAAAACACGCGCGCGGACGCAGACGCGCCCGGAGGAGCGGGGGCAGCGCCGGCCGCCAGGTAACGCGGGGCCGCAGGTGGGCAGCGCGGGGCCGCGCGCGCTCCCGGCCCGGCCTGCGTGGCAGCCGCCGAGGGCGCGCGCGGGAGCGCGCGGCGGGGGCGCGCGAGGGGCTGAAGTTGTCTCCGGGACGCGGCGCCGCTCCGCTCCCGCTCCGGGCCGCCCCGCGCGGGCCCCGCCGCTCCCCCGGCCGCAGGTGAGCTCCGCGGGGATCCGCCGAGCGCCGCGCCGAATCCGGCCCCGCCGGCGGGCCGCGGGGAGAACGGGCCGCGCGGGGGCGGGGGGCGGCGGGGCCGGGGCTGCGTGCGGACACGTGCGGGGGGAGCGCGGAGAGCCCGGGCTGCGGGGGGGGCGGTGCCGCATCGCCGCTTTTTGTCTTTTGAGTTGTTGGTTTGTTCGCTGCTGGGAAGGGGCGCAGCCGCAGCGCCGCGCACGTGCCGGGCCGGGCCGCCAGCAGCGGGCAGCGCGGGGTGCGGGCTGTGCGCCGCGGGGCGGTGCGGGAGGAAGCGGGGTAGCGCTGGGGAGGGCGGTGATGTCAGTTCCTGACACATTCTGACTGTCCCGCTGTCATCTCGGCGTCTCTTCTAAAAGTTAAGCGCTGTGAATCACCGCTCGCGGCCGTTTGAGTTCTGCTCCTGCATTGAGACAAACCTCGGCGCAGCACCGCCGCCAACTCTTTCCACTGCTACTTTTTTTTCCTGTTGACATTCTTGGTGACAGTCGTATTCTCTTAGGAAGCAACAGGAAAAAAAAAAAAGGAACTTGTTTCAGAGAAGCGCTGCAGCCCCCACTGCCTGCGGCTTCGTGCCCCACGAGACTTAGCAATGAGCAGAAAAACGGGGGGGGCTGCCGTGGCCGAGGAGGGTCCTGTGGGAGCAGCACTGGATCTCAGCCCTAAGGAAGGGTTCGGAGCAGAATCGGCCTCTGGCTGCAGCACTTCTGCCGCGTGCTGCTCGCTGCTCCGCATTCCTTTCCCAGCACGCAGACGGGAGAGCAGACGCGGTTCAGAGTTCTCCTGCACTTTCCGGTGCCTCGGTGCTCGGTTTGCTCTGGGGAAGCAGCTGCGGGTGGGCGGCTCGGCGGGGCTCAGTGCCTGCAGCCCTGCTGCCCGGAGGGCTTCGTGCGGGTTGGAGCACCGAGCGTTGGCAGCAGTGGGCGGCTGTGACCCTGCTCACTCCATCGAGGTGGTTGCAGATGACTGCAGGACGTTCTGCCGTCCATCTCCCGCTCCCACATCTCTGTGAGCTGTGGGTCTGAGGGCCTCAACCAGGCCTGGGGGATGGCAGGGGTTTGGTTTGGTTTGACGTGCAGAAGGATCCATTTAGCAGTTATTTATTCAGAGTGAAATAAGTTAGGGATTTTTGTTTGTTTATTTTTGTATAAGGGTTGGCGCCAGAAGTACCTGTGTGGGTTTTCTCTACTCCTCCATTTTTGTGACTGTAAAATGGAGGTAGTGACGGTCAGGTTCGTCTCCTGTGCGCCTTCAGAAGACTCTGTAGCTGTGTAGAAGATGAATTAGTGAACAGAAGGAGCACCTTTTCCTACCTCGTGTGCCAAATACATTGAACCTCGAGGCCGTGACAGATAGATGCCCAGGGTTGGGGCAGGCCCCCTGCGGAGCAGCAGTTGCTGTGTCTGTGGATGCCAAACCCCGGTTGATGACGTTGGGCATCAGTGCAACTCTGGGGGCCTGGCTGTTGTGCTGTCCTAAATGGAAGCCGTGCCAGGTTGCAGTTCTTCTAGAAAGGAGGCTTAATAGTCCAACTTTCAACTTGAGTTTCTAGCTTTTTTCACTCTTATTTACTCTTCTTAGATGGTCTTGCTGTAGAACAGGCTGCTTGTGAGAAAGAACCCATAAAAGTTGTCTTTTTTTACATTTAATGAAAAAAAAACCACCCAGACAAACCAGGAGCTTCATTTGGAAAGCTGGGCTGATCTTTACTATGTAACTTCTTCAGTATTATTAAAATTCAGCACATTGAGATGGAAAGTTGCTGGGATGCTGTGTAGAGTGTGGGCACAGAATTCTGGTTCAGGAAGCCAGGAATGGGCATTGTACCTGTGACACATTTCTGTGTTTGTCTTAGGAATTTACTGAAGCAGTCCATTCCGCCCTGTGTGGGAGCAGCTGATGGAGCACACACCTGTCTGGGTGCTGTGCTGGTCTGTAGGGAATGTCAGCCTTTGTCTCCAATCTGAACGTGCTGCAGCAGTGTTATTACCATATAGAACACAAACACAGAACATCTGTGCAGCTGAAGTAGAGCTCTTGATCGCATGGATAGCACTTACTGAGGGGTGCTGATGTGCTGGGGCCAGAGGGTGTTTGGTGCAGCCAGGTGATGCTCAGTGCTGGACAGAATGGCCTTCCTCTGTATAGAGGCAGAGGAAGGCTGAGGGTGAGTGAGAAAGGCTGAAAGCTTTGAAAGACAGACCCTGAAAAGTTTCTTCTGTAGCAGCCCTATTGGTGCTGGTGTGCTTGCTGTACGCACCGGCTCTGCTGGGAAGCTCGCATGTGGAAGCACTGGGCACAGTTTGTGCGTGTGTTGTCAGTGCAGCACAGTAAGGGTGGGCCAGCTCAAAACAGGGTAACAGAGCTGGCGTGACTCGACATCACAGGGAGCAACTGGGTGCTGAATTGGTTCCACAAGACGAGCTGGTGTGAAACCAAGAAGGCGAAGAATTGGATTCTGTGGAACCACTTCATGAGGCTGCTAGGGAAGAGAAACTGCTGCAGGGACAGTTTTTGCTCCCCCCCATGGCTCTCTGCAGGGGGGAGCAGGCCCAGGAGGGATGACTTCACAAAGGAGTGCTGAGTGTGTGCACCTGGGGCAGCAGGCAGCCCCTGCCCCTCGTTGTGCTCAGCTGGGCCTGGGGAGGCCATCCTACAGCAGGTGTGCGGCTCAGTGCATCCCACTCAGGGTTTGCTCTCTGCTTTGGCAGTGCTATGGCAGGTATGGCATGGTCCTTGGATATGAGAGCAAATGGACAGTGGTTATAAAGCTTTTCCACCAACAGCGGTAGTAGGTTCTCTAGGGAAGGGGTGGTATCCCAGTGCTGTTTGGTTTGGGCAGCAGAATCTACAAAATGCAAAATCTACATTTTAAATTACTTTTTAAAAGCACGCTGGTTTTTTCCTCCTTGCAGGTCACAATTGCTGCGGAGTGAATTGCGCAGACCTTAAGCCCTTGTTTAAAAATGCTGGGCAGGTGTGGGGGAGGTTTGTGGGGCCGGGCAGGGGGTGCTGAGCTGGGGCAGGAGTGAGGCCCAGTGACGTGGGATGGTGGTTGTGTGAAGGCAAAAAGCTGTGGGGAGTTGCTTTTAATGGTGGTTCCAACACGGCAGTCTGTAGAACTGTCAAAGCTTTTTATGGCCCGATCGGTCTGTTTCTGTCTTGGCTTATTTCTTGTATGCATATTGGCTTGGATGGGGGTTACTTCAAGTTCTAACCTGTGCTTTGCGTTCAGACACCTGAATGGTGGTGCAGCACGTGGCTGTGTGCACACAGCTCTCCTGAGTCTTCCTGATGGTTTCGGTTTTTTTTTAAAGTTTTCAGAATATTTAAAGTATTTCAGCAAAATATATTTTTAAATGAAATGGATGACAACTGCCTGTTTAGCTTCCAACGTTTCATCAGATGACTCGGTTTATCACATGGCAACTATCATATTGAGAGTACTTCTACACTGTCAGTGCAATTAAAGAAATTAGATTTCCGCAGTGTTTACTTCAGCGTGGTGCTGCTCTGAGTGTCTGCTACCACAGATTCCAGGCAGCGAGCAGCTGTCTGCTGCAGATGGAGAGGAGAAATCCTTCCCTTCGCTTCTTACTTCTAAAAAGGTTTCCGTCCAGAACCGGCAGTAACGTAACACTACCTGCAGCTCAGATCCCAGTTTCCTGTTACACGTTTAAGTGAACCAGCGCAGGCTGTATCCAAAACGAAATGGTGTAAGTGAAAAAGACTTGAGGAATTTTGCATTCCAGAGCATTCTTGAAACCTCACAAATGCTTGCTTAAAAGTCAGAATGAGTTATTTATTATGTCTCTTTTTAAGGGGAAAAAAAAAAAGGAAGTAGAATTAGAATTGCAGGGCTTAGATACCGGTTTAAAAGCTCCCCCTCCTCGGGTTGGGGAAGCAGTCCTCACCCTCAGCAGTGCTCCTGCACACACTTGGAAGTGACAGGCATGTTTGGTGGCTTGGTGACCTGAGGGTACTTTGCAAATGACCTCTTTGGGTTCCGCAGCGTTTTATTAGAATAACAGTGGTGTCAGCAGTGCTGTCCTTGTCTTGTTTGCACGACAGAATGGAGTGGTTTGGAAGCTGGCGGATGAGCAGCAGATGGCTGTTAGCACAGTTTGGGCCCGGCATGGAGGACCCTGCTGGAGCCATGGCCGCCTGCTGAGGGCTGTGCTGGGGAAGTGGGGACCCCACAGCACTGTTCTAGAAATGGGTTTGTGCACAGAGCTGTGCAGCCCGGTGTTGGGATCCGAGGTTGGGGTGGTCGGGTGTCCTGCTGTATTTCTGTATATGCTGTATCAGCTACGGGGCGCTGTGGGCGTTACTGCACAGCCCAGGTGAGGTACAGGAGATGGTGAGATTGCACTTCTATTTTCTTGTTTTACCTGTAAAAGTGGTGGCTGCTGCTGTATGGCTTTTCCCTTTATGACTGTTCCTTTGCCATTGGTTTGTTCTCATTTTTGGACTGTTGGGGGTGGACCACGGCCCCCACGCCCTCAGCCACGGGCTCCATGTGGGCCGTGTGGGGCTCAGCACTGCTCCATGTGGGGCAGTGGGGAATGCTCTGTGGGGTGGGCAGAGTCCTGAGCCCACACTGACCGAGGAGCGGGCGCTGTGTGGTGCGGATGCTCTGCGAGCGCTGTGCCTGTGGGGATGGCCTCAGCAGTGGGGAACACGTGTTCCTGGTTCACTGCTGCCCTCCGTGTTCTCCCTTACTTTGCAGAGTACTCCTTCCTTAACCTGGCGGTGTTAGCTGCCTGGCTGGAAGGCAGTGTTGCTGTAGGTGGTGCAGCAGCAGCTGGGAGGTGCTGCCTGCAGGCAGACGGTCGCTGCTTTGCAGGGAACTCAGCACCACTCCTGTGAGGAACTTCAGGTGTAGTCTCAGTTGTGTCCTTTCCCCGTAGACAATTCTCTGCCATCCTGAAAAGCGGTGGTTTTCTCGTCGTTGGGATGTTTTGTGTTTCCTGCATAGAAAGGCTGTGGGTGTCAGTGCTACTGTGGAGACCCTGTGGTGGTTCTGGTATGTGTGGCCGTTATTGCAGGCAGGAGATGGGGAGAAAAAGCCGTCGATATTGCAGCGTTCCTTTTCCCCCAAGGGGAGGAAGTTGGACTGGAATAGATATTAGCAAATGTGGGCACCAGAAGTCCCCTTTTCCTACATGATACTGCTGTTTTTGTCCTCCTGTGCTGTCGGTATTTAATTAGATCATCTATCAAACAGCTGCTCAAAACGTGAATCTTAAAAATGTTAAACTAGAACAACAACAGCAGGAGAGCGTTGCAAAGTCCTCCGGAGCGCGCGGGTCTGTTGCAGAGCAGCCACGTAAGTCGGGGCGGTGTGCGGCTGTGTGTTACCCTTTAGCCAGTCGGGAAATCCAAGTGGTGACTTTCAGCTGTCACTATATTAAGAACCAGCGCTGCCTTTCGTGGCAGTCTGTATATACTGGAGTCGGTTCTATGTAGTAAATATTCTTGCTGTGTTTTCATAATCGTTCTACTTAGAGTAAGTGCTTCTTGGGTGGGTATTACAAATCTGTTAATCTTTATGGTATTTATGGGGTAATTTTTAACTCTCCTGAGCTCCTTACTTCCTTACAGGTCAATTACTCAATTTATAACGTTATGTCAGGCGTAAGAACTTCACCGTCCAAAGGGTAAACAGAGCTGGGTACAGTTCTTTACCTGTGTTTGCTCTCGGTTCTTTGTGTGCTGTGGAATGCAATAACTTACAGTGTGACCTATTTATTGGGATTTCTTTTACTCTCCCTGGTTTGTACTTTAAAGTGGCTGTGATGACTTATTTTAGCTTTTGTGCTTCATTGCTAATGGAGGGAGCGGGGAAAACTTGCCGCAGCCCTCTCTGAAGAACACACTGTTAATCACATGGCAGCTACTTAAGCCAAAACTGCTGCAAACAGTGCTTAGGTATTTTCGGTTGGCCACTGCTGTAACTGATGACTGTAAGTCAAACACTGCCGTGCCTGGCAGCACACGGCTCTCTGGGGGGGCCTTGGCCCCATGAGACGGGCGCTGACCCCAGCCTGTTCTCACTGCAGCTGTCGGTTTTACAGTGGAAATCTGTTCAAGTCGGGGGGTTTTGGTGGCCTGTGACAATAAGGCGATATCCCTGCCGTGTCCCCAGGGCACGTCCTGCTGAGAGCCGGCCCTGTGCTGTGCTGGGCAGAGGGGTGCTGTCATGGAGATCGCTGATGGTTTGGAAGCCCTTCTGGGGACATCCCTGATGGCTTGTGCTGCAACCAGCTCTCCAGGAAGTGGAACAGTGGCAGATTTCTGGAAGGTGCTGGGTTGGTCGGCTGAAAATGCTGAGCAGTGTCATACAGAGCTCTCCTCCTCCCGCTACCTTTGTAACTGACGTGCAGTCTGCTGGGTTTTCTTTCATGCTTTTCTGTTCTGTATGTATAAGATGAATCTTCTGCTGCTGAAGCAGGTTTCAGTGTCTGTGATGGCTCTGTGAGGATCTAATGAATCCCCTCAGGAACCTGTCTTCTGGTTGTGCTTTTCTTTCTTCCCAGAGGTAAACCACAAGATCTGTAGCACTTAGGGTATAGCGGTGTTGTTTTCAAAGATTTGGCCAGGTGTTTCTTTCTGGAGTTGGTTGTGTTTTGCAAGCGCATCATCGTGGCATTCCCTTTCAACCCTTTCTTTCTCCTCCAGGAATGCCCATAATACTCTGTTTGCTTATGTGTTAAAAAAGAAAGGGTAATGAGGGAAACAGGAACTTTATTTTCAGAAAAGGAAGGTGTTTATGGCCGGGGTGTGGGGTCTTGGGGGCATCCTTGGGGCCGGGCTGTGGGGAGGTGGGGCAGCTGGAAGGTGCGTGAGGAAGGCAGGCCTGGGTTGGCACGTGTGTGCCTGAGTGACCTGTGTGCTTGTAGGAAGCAAGGTTCAAAATGAGCCATGGATCCTTGGTCTCATCAGGCTTTGGCACGGTTGCCTGTTGTCTTTCCTCTTGTTCATCTGAGGCTGGGGACAGCCGAGTGCCAGCTTGCTCCTTTTATTGCTGACATAGGCAGCGCTAACGAGTTTGATAATAGCAGCTAGATGATGTGGGAATATATTTTTCCTTTGGAGACTGTCTCCAATTTGTTATATAGAACCATATTAAGATTTCTATTTACTCTGAAGTCATCCAGCAGCAGGCACAACCTGGGTAGCTTTTGTTTGTGCATCCAGTCCGTGGCATTCGTTCTGCTCCAGACTCAGTTGCTTTGCCCATGGCTTTCCCTTCACACTGTTCTGCAGAGCGGACTGCTGCTGCTCTCAGGTCTGGGGCTGAGTGCTTTGCTGAGCGCACGTGGCCGCTCTCTTCCTCATAGGGCAACTTCACTTTGCCAGCAGCATTTGGGCTGGACTGCAAACTCTTGAAGGGGTGAGTCACTCCGTGCCGTGGCAGAGCAAGCTCCTTATTGCCTCCTGTGCCACAGAGGTTGTTTGACCTCCAAAGCAGAGTGGCACAGCCCTGCCTCCTCCCTGCTGTGTTCCCAGTGCTGGGACTTCACGTTTCCTCTCTGTGCCCTGGTTTGATCTGAGGCAGTCTGTGTCTGCTCACCTGCAGCTCTGACTTCCGACGCCCTCTGAAAGCAAAAAAAGAAAAGGCCTCTCAGAATACTTCCTCTTCCTGAAGTGTCAGGTGTGTCATCCCTCCTACGTGAGCTCTGTGCTGGCTGCAGATGCGTATGTTTAACCTCAATTCAG